ATTTTTTCTCGTTCACTTTTCAGGTTTTTGTTTTATGTTTAGTATTCAGTTTTATAAATATGCAGAACATTCTAAGATATGCATGCAACGAAACAGAATCAGGAATAATAGACAAAGTCCAAAGAAGTAATTAAAAAGCGCGGTGGATATTACATTAATTTTCTTTTATAAAATTGACGTTATTTTTATTATAATGTAAACAAAGATATAGATATGTGTATTTGTTTAATACAATTAACTTTGAAATACATTGATGCATCAAGTTTTAGTAAAATATCAAAGTGTGAAGATTCGAGTAAAAAAAGCTCGGCACGGAACGTGTTAACCACCCTTAGGGGACCAAAACTATTTCCAGTTTACACACTGCCAAGTCCAGTCTGTTTTTCAGACGAAGAGAAATTTTTTACTGAAAATTTTTGTATCGAATATAAAGAAGAGATATTCATTTTTTAAATAAAACTTCGTTGATATATTTTCATCGAAACAATCGTGCCTATATTCTTCCAATGTTTCCTGCCAGATTTTACGGTTTTATTGATTTCTGCCGCGTGTATGGAGGCATTGGACCGTTAAGGGTTAAATTTATTAACGGAGGAAATACATTTTTATTCGACTTCCGTTTATTCCAACCGAAATAGACAATTCTTATTCTGCATAAATATCCGCAGTCTAATCACCGCTATATTTTTCAATTCGTATTAGATCTATGACTTACTTTACCAAGTGGATGTAATCGCGGGGTATTTGCGGTAAATCTTTAAAACTGTAAAGATTCCCAGCGAATTCGTAGTTCGGATTGAACTCGGTCATCATGGTGTCGGTAACGGCCTGCAACGACCTTAACTCTGTACCATTGCCGAACATAACTTGTCGCCGATGTGAGAGCGCCTTTCGACTTTGGTAACGATTATCTATCGATGAAAGGCATTCATAAACCGACCGAACTTGTTTTTCGTTTCTGTATCATGAAAAACAATTAAGGAAAGTCGTACACCAAGTTTCTGAGAGGTCATTGCAAAGGGGAAGCTTCAATCTTCAAACCCGCGTGGTCGATTTATTCGTGAAAAGAAATGATTAATATGGCTTTGGAGAGTTTCGATTCGTAACATTTTCGAGTAAATATAAGTCTTCAGTTTTCCGCTTCAAGCTTTAAAATAAGTTCAGATTCATTAGGCTAAATGTGACTCTTCTTTTACGAAATTAGAACAATTCGAGTATCGATAATTTGTGAAAAATCTGAAATGCAGTGTACGAATGCTTTTTGCATTGACTTGTACGTTACAATATTGGTCAACAGTCTCTTACAAATTACTAGGCAGAGGGTGGAGCAAGCGAGCACTAGGAAGACGCTTAGAGTGATCCACAGAATCATGAACGTTTGATGCGATCCCTTAGAGTCGTCTGCCACTGCAAATTAAAGAATTTACGTCGATTATTATAGTTCTTATTTGAAATCATTCAAAGTCGAACAATTGACATGACAACGTTACATTTGCCATATTGCTGAACACGAATGTCTACAAAAGGAAACTGGTTTCTGATGTTTTCTTTTACAGTTACTGGAATTATGCAAATTTTTCTATGACAAACTTTTTCATAATCTTCTTTATTCAAGCATATATGCTATGATCGAAATCGTACGAAGTTTGAATACATCCAATCTTGTCCGAATTTTCGGAAGATAAATTAGATAAATTGCTATTGCAACTAGGAACAACGGAGAGACTCGTAAGTCTACAAAAAATATCTTCAAAAATATGTTTCGAAAAATTGATCGATCTTGATTGGAATTGAAAAATTGAAAAACGGTCCGCCGTGCAAGTGTAAATCGGTAAAAACATTGATTCTAAAATCGGAGACTGCACTATTTAAGCGGGGAAAGTGTATAGAGGATAGACTACAGTATAATTGTAACATTGAATAGAAATGGCAATTGTTCAATTTCTCCAGAATTTGTGAAAGTGAAAGTTGTTTTCTTCTGTTCTTTTTTTTTTAACCCTTTTAGCACCGAGCGAAAGAAGCGTACCTAGGCGAAGAATACTGGGCCGAATCGGCGAATTTGTAGAGGTTTGCGAAAATGCTCGTAAAAACCAAAGTAGGCGTGATATTTAGAAAATTCAAAAAGCAGCATATTGCGAAAGGAATGGAGAATAAATCGATACCAATGAAGTTTCGATATTTGTTAAAAATCATAAGAATAACATAAGTATAAGACAATAAAAATCGTACAAAGTAATTTCTCTTTTTCAAAACGTAATTGCACATAGAAGAAATCAACATGTTCAGAAATTGGTACGTAAAAAATAAATCGAAATATTCTATTGGTTTGGATATGTTCGGTGGCAAATGTTTAGGGCCGGGTATTTCCGAAAATAACGGGCGCGGGTTATATTGGCTATCGTTTTCAACATTTACTTTCCTGAAATTCGTGAAAGATTCACTCTGGCATATACAGACCCTCGGCACGAAACAACATAAGATATAACAAAAAGTTGATCTAATAAACATTTGTTCACTTGTGCTGCATCGAATATGAACCATTTTAACATTTTATGAAGTTATACTTAAACA